GAGAGAGAGAGAGAGAGAGAGAGAGAGAGAGAGAGAGAGAGAGAGAGAGAGAGAGAGAGAGAGAGAGAGAGAGAGAGAGAGAGAGAGAGAGAGAGAGAGCCGACGACGGAGACAGAGAAGCAGAGAAGACAGGAGACTGCTTGAAAGCTAGCGAGGAGGCAGGAAACAAGAAATGATTGTATCTGACCAAAGACACACACAAACACACACACTCGCTTACACATTCTAAAAAAAAAAAGAAAAAAAAATAGAACAAGCAGACAGGGACGACAAAGACACATGCCCAACCCAAGAAAGGAGAGAGAAAGGACGAGAGGACAGGCTAATCTGGAATGAGGAGTTGAGGCGGACGTGATAAAGTCTGTGGGCGCGGAGTGGAGGAGGACGTGGGCGTGGGGCGAGGGCGAGAATCTGCCGCGGCCTTCTCAGCTCCACACTTCCGGTTAAGGCCATAGAAAGTATTGGGTGCAAACTCTTTGCATTCGGGAGGCCTTGACATGCATGGATGTTGATAATAATGCAGAAGTTTTCCTGCGCGAATTAAAATTACGAGAATAAGAGTTGCCCTTTTCCTAGAATGCAACGAGATTCCCTGTGATTTTCTCAGATATGCACGGGATTATGTTGCAACAGATCGTGTGTTTTATTCCCCCTAAAAGTTTGCTTGAAATAAAAGTTAATATTTTTTAACGACTACCATAGTACGAATGAACCATTACCAATTAAAAAGATCTAAAAGCAAAATATAATAAATAAATCTACGGTAAAAAAATAATCATTCAGTTGTAGAACCATACTCTACATATTCACATTTCTCATCTAAAAAAAATCCTTCCTTTAGTTCTATATAAAAAAAATAAAAGCGTAATTTCTAACGAGCAAACTTCCCAGAGTTTAGTCATCGATTTATTTCCCGGATTCACATAAGCAGAGAAGCGGCCATGACAGCAGGCATGACGTCATCTTTGAGGAAGCGTTCCAATAATCTCCAACATTATAATTTTCTCGATCTCGAATAAAAAACCTAACATACCAAAAAACGCAAACAAATTAAAAGAAACTCCATATTAATATTAATATATCGTAATGTTCTACGGGTGGTTAGATACGACAACGCAAAGAATCCCGAAAGCCTTTTTGAAAGAGTTTGCTCCAACGTTATAAGCAGGCCAAGCGAGTTCGAGGTTGCGAAAGCCCTCGATCCTTCCCTCCTTTCGGTGAGTTTACGCGTCGCTCCTGTAAAATTTTTCGGTTTTTCGCCCCCAAAGTGCTCCCGGCTGCCCTCCTTTCGCTTTAGGATTGTGTATCAGTCTATCTTCAAGGGCTGTGAGTTCAGAAATTAAAGTTTGAAAGTGAATTTAGGGAAATATTGATCGCCGAAGAACGTGTGGCGTAGCTTCCATTAGGCAGGTCGTCGGAAGGCCATCGGGAAGGAGAGATTTTTTCCCAAAGGCTCGTAATTATTCGCTTTTTCAGCCTCTTTCAGCTCTTCGCCTCAATTACGACTCTGCGGTGGAATAAACAGGGGAAAAGTGGGGAGAAAAGAGGTAATAATTATGTAGTTGGAAAAAAAAGCGATTTTTTGAAGTTTCTGTCCAAGAGGCCTCGATCGCGGAATATTTTTTTCTTTTTTCTATTTTCTTTTTTGTTACAGAATCCCACCGTTTAATTGAGTTTTTGAGGCTAATTTCTGGCTGGCTCATGGGGTAGTTTTTGTTTCAATACCCTGTGATTGGATGGATTTAAGTCGATTTTTTATTCCTATTAAGGGTAGGATTTTGAGGTTTTTTTTTTTACACAAGGAAAATTTAATTTAAAACTCGGAAGGAAACTTTTGGCTTTTGTATCTTTTTTTGTAGCTTTTTATTATGAAGGTTTTAGTGTGAAGGTTTCATGGTGGTATTAAAATTAATAAATAACGATAATGATGTAAATCCTATTTTCCCCGGAACGCAGGCATCATCATGACTAAAATAAAATGATCGTTAGGTTAGGGGTGTTGTCTCCTGGTGTTTCTTTCTCACGGCCCCCCCACACTTTCATTTTTTTCTTTGTTGGCTAGTTGGTAGGCCGGCATGTAATATGCTTGTATCATTAAACACTCTAGTATGTGTACATTCCTCTTTTCTATGAGCTTTGTGGAAGGCAGGGATGACTATAATGTCACTGGTTTGTAGACTTCTTGTAAAATAGGTAATTCTTGACAGTTCAGACACTCCCCAACCCCACATCTCAAAAATATTCAACCCCCCGACACCCCCAGAGAAACATTGCCTTCACCTTGGCATACATGGCTAGATAAAGCTGAAACTCTGGAGCAGCAAGTAGACTTAGGCTCTGAGCAGCGCATTCCGAGACCTTTTCCTTTGTTCCTAGCTAGTGGAGTTCTTTTGTGTACTTCAAATGGATAGAATATTATTGTTTATTGAGAAAGATCCTCATTTGATAGATGGTGCTGATGGCAGGGGCAATTACTGTGAATATTTTCTGGTTAATCTACACACAATGGGCACACGAAGCTAAGGCAAATGGAAAGTTTGGTATTTCTTTGAGAGATGAAGGCCCAAAACCAGGGTATCGTGCAAACCAAAAAATCAAAACTTAAAATTTCCTACCTTATTGTAACAGACCTTCAGTGTGATGGGTGCAGATGAACTATGGCTAGGAGGGATTATAGAAAAAAACATGTTATTTGTTACCGAGAGCGACACACCCTCATGTGAAGCCAACCCTTCCTAACTTGTATTCATTCCCTAGACAGGAAGTAAACCCCTGTACCCCCCTTTGTTAGCACTTCACGCATACTTAAAGAAAACGCGACATTAAGAACTCTGGCTGCGTGTGAGGGTGTTGTGGACTTAGCCTCTCAGCTGTGATATGCAGCAGATATTTTTATCATTTCGCATAAATACGAGGCCACTGCAGCTGTACCCCTGTTGTTTATTACTCTATTTTTATTCTCTCTCTGGCGATCAATGATTGCGCGCCGACTTTGAGTGCGGGAGTTCGGTACATCAGGCCGAATCACCGGCTTGCCGTGCTTTGGCACACCGCACGCCACATTTTGCCTATAGGCGTCACCTGTCGTAAAGGGTTAAGAGTTGCCTGTGTGACAGTGTTATGGGCTTAGTCTCTGCTCTGAACATGACTACACGTATCAGAGCTCAAACAAATCTGAGTGATGCACTTTGAAAGTAACATAAGAACTCCGCTAAGGTGAAGACTGTCAAAAACTTGGGAAATGGTTTGTAACATGTCACAAAATGGAGAGGGCATTTAGGGGCAAAGTCTTTGGTATATGATATTTAACTCCCAGGAATGTGTCCCTAAGGATGTTGGAGTAATAGGGACATTTGGAGGGATTCTGTTTATTCATAATCAATAGCCCTTTGTTTTTATTATGCTTATCTACTGGATTTGTTACTTGGATTGATGGAACTTGGCTTGATGTCATATTGCCAGCTATTCACAGGCTGTTGACATGGTTTGTTCATCTTTACTGAGGATACAAAGACATGTAGGCCATTATGGGTATGTTATGAAGTAATATGTTGGTAAAATCAAAGGATTGAGGTAAAACATTATATTATTTGGAACAGATCACGTTTTGACCCCTTGCTGACAAGTGAAGAAAAAAAACAAAAAAACTACTCTGGAGATAAATGGCAGCACGCTGACTTTGAGTGTTGGAGTTTGGTACATCAAGCTGAACCCCTGGCTTATAGTGCTTTTGCACGTCACTGCGGCATACAACCTTACTCCGCAGATCAAGCGGTTTATGATGTGTGACCCGTCAGGAAGGGGTTAAAAGACACTATCTTTGAAGCACTTTCTCAGAATTATGCTTACTGTTTGGGACTTACAGGGTGGGGGGGGTTGAAATGATTGCACACCACACTCTATCATGAATTATTCTAAAACTCCTTAACCTTGCCTGCAGCAAAAAACAGACTATGTCTACCCTTATGTCAGCTACATTCCTACTCTGACAGGGAAAAAATATCAAATGTCAGTTCATACCTCCAAGCATAGTCATGATTCTTCCTTTAGTAATCATATTGGAGGCCCTTGGCTGAAATTTCCTCCCACAAAAGAATAAGGGTATTTGAAAGTGCAGGGACTTTAGTTGATATTGCCAGTAACATTAACCATAATGTCTTTAAAGTAGACTGATTAGTACATGTATCCTCTATTTAAAGTTTGTAACATATTATGCTTGGATGGTAAAAGGTCCAGGATATTCTCAGTAGGTTGAGTCAATGTCTATTTTCAGATACTGTTTAGTGTTGTAGGTATATCCTTTAGCAAGTAATTTGTCTGCCATTCCTTTGTCTTCAGTCAAAACTAGGTCAGCCAAGAACTTGTGTATTGATCCTGGGTAACTTTAAGGTTCAGTAGAAAGTTCATTAGTTTTTTTTCTCTACAATTTTCAAAAGTTTATTTCTAGAAAGTTCAGACACTTTTGGTTTTAGTCACAACCATTGTTTTGAGAGGAACACTGTTTTTTTTAATGTGTTCTAAGTATGTTGATTACATTGTGGATCTGTTTCTTTAATCCTATAATAAGATATGATATGGGTACTTGAATTCTATTTGGCTCACAACGCTCTCTGCCAAAAGGGAGGGAAATGGAAAAAAATTCCTGTTTTGAAAGACAAAGAAAAATATCCACACAAAGCTGACTAGAGGTTTTTGCTTATGTTTAGAAGTGATGACTACTGCAACATTTGCTGTGTGTAAAATGACTAAGGCAGAATTTGATATAACTGCACATTACCTTTTTGTTACTCTAGAATTGAGTTGAAAGAAATTTTCTTTGTTATAGGTTTCTTTGTTTAACTTCGTGATTGTATCCGCCCCCAAGAAACTAAGATTTCTCTCCTTATGATTAACTCTGAGTGGTGGTAGATATATTATATGTATTTTCCCTTTCTTATTCCAGGAGCAGACAAATATCCTGAAGAGCGCCATTTTTTATCAGGGTGGGTTACCAACGAGCAACAACGGACGGGCAGAGGAGCCAGGGGGGTGCTTCTCGCTCCGTGGGAGGAAGGTGTGTGGCCTTGTTATAGTTTAACTCATGATTTAGTGGATGATATTACTGGAAAACTGTTACTCATTGACTTAAAAGGTTCAAAATATAATTCTACAGATTTCAGAATATACTTATGTTTATTGAACATAGTAGGCTTGATTCTTTGCCTGTGTAATAATGCTAATTAATTTAGTTATTTTATTTATAGTGGAAAGGTCTTAATAGTAATGCCTTACAGGGACGATTTACGTTCCCTGTCCAGTAGCAAAAGGCGATGGATACCTCCTTCTAGCTTGAGACGAGATGCACATACCCCAGACAACAAATATGACCTTACTTTCAGAAAGGTGAGTAGTTTGAAACAGGGTGTCCATATTGAAACTCCTGACACTTGTATGAATATTTCTAACCCTCAAAATTTGCATTAACAATGTAAGAGGGAAGTCCTTTGAATTGTGTAGAATTAGAATACTGGTTATATAATTTGATTTGAAATATTGAAGGAAATGCTCATTTGAAGACTTAATTGAAAATTCAATGATTTGATTTATTTTTTAATTTTTATTTATTTTCTTACCCCAGGTTCGAGGAATACTCAACAAACTCACTCCAGAGAAGTTCCATAAGCTAAGTAATGACATCCTAAATGTAGGGCTAGATTCCACCACACTTCTCAAAGGGGTCATTTTACTGGTAAGTGAAACTAGGAACTTTAATTATTTATAAAGTGAATCATATTGTATACATTATATTTTATAGGAATTCTTCAGTATTTGTTTCTAATAATTTTTCACACCCGACAGATCTTCGAGAAGGCCCTTGATGAACCCAAGTATTGTTCTATGTATGCACAGCTGTGCAAACGGCTGTCAGAAGAGGCTCCAAACTTTGATCCACCAGACGGACCTTGTACTTTTAACCGCCTACTTTTAAGCAAGTGCCAGGTATGTTTTATTCTCAGCTTTAACCCAATGACGCCGGGTGTACTAAAGGAAAATAAAACTCTACGCTCTGGCAAACAAAGGCAGCGCGCCGACTTTGAGCGCAGGAGTACGGGGCGTCAGCCCGAATCACTGGCTCGCCGCGCTTTGGCGCGCCGCCGGCTGGTTTGGCCGCACGCCACCTTTCGAGCGATTTGTTTACACGCGTATCGCCGTCACCCGGCGGCAAGGGGTTAATTATTACAAGTGGTCCCCCCTCAAACGTATGTTATATTTAGTATTGATGGTGATGTATCATGATTCTTATGAGGAATTTAAATTTTAGGATGAATTTGAGCGGCGGCGACGCGCCTCGGAGATATGGGATGGGTCGGAGGGATCCGCCCTCTCAGCAGAACAAGAGGAGGAGCGAGCAGCAGCCAAACGGAAAATGGTGGGCAACCTCCGCTTCATTGGCGAACTGGGGAAGCTGGAGATTATTCATGAGTCCATTCTCCACCGTTGCATCCAGCAGGTAAGTTGTTTTTATGGATCAAGTCTTATTTAAAGCTGGCAGCATTTTTAAGAGTACATCATTACTAGTAAGGCATGAAAGGGGCTATAGATGTACACTGACTCATGGTATCCACAATTTTTTTCTGCAGTTGTTGGAGAAGCGTAGGAGTAGACCAATGGTTGACTTGGCTGAGGATCTGGAGTGTTTGTGCCAGATAATGAAAACTTGTGGAAAGGTGCTGGACAAGCCCAAAGCTAAGGTAAGCATCACTTTGGATAAGACACATCAAATTTTTTGCAATTTGCAATTTTTGAGGATTACATATCTAGGATACTTGGTAAAGTGCATACAATAATATACGTTTTCCAACAGAACTTGATGGACCAGTACTTCGAGCGCATGTACCAGTTGAGCAGTAACATGGAGCTTCTATCAAGAGTTCGCTTTATGCTGCAAGACGTGCTGGATTTGCGCGCTGCCAACTGGGTGCCTCGCAAGGTAGCCCAGGTGGATGGCCCACGCACCATTCGCCAGGTGAGTTAGACAGCATTATTTAGGAAATTAGCTTTTTGTTTTGTAACAGTTATAAGCTTGAATGATATGTTAGAGACTGCTGATATAACCCTTAATGTATTATAGGTGCGTGAAGAGGCAGCACATGACTTGGGTGTCTACATCCCGCCACCGTCTTCCCATGGACCACCACGCTCCTCCGGACCAATCTCTCCTTTGGCTGGAGTCTCGTCCTTTTTCCCTCAGGTGAGTCCATATGTCTATATTTTATAATTCAGTATAATTTGACACATATTTTAAATGAAATCTTGTATTGATTTTGACATTTGAATCTGAGTAGATCAGAACTTAATGCTATAATTTTTTTCTCTCTCCAAATTTCTAGCCTGGAGGTAATCGAACGGGAATGGAAGACGTATTTATGGGTGCAGTAACTCTTGGCACGGGCCCAGGGGTGATTTCATCTCAACCGGACAAGTATGGATATGACTCAAATGGATTTGGGGGTGGAGTTAGTGGTGGAGGGAGTTACAGGCCACGACAACAGCAAGGGGTAAGATTTTTCTCCCTCACTTTTCCCTCACACCTTGCAATACTTCAGATTTTTGCTTACTTAGATGTCTATTATTTTTGATACTAGATTTATTTTAGAATAACAATAATTGTTTTAATTAACTATTCATTTATTAGTATAGGTATTTATCCTTGTAGTTCTTGAATACCATTTTTTTTTCACGTAGGATTTTCTTGTTAAAAAAATATTTTTGTATTTTGCATGTGCCTTTTTTTTTTTTTTTCACGTAGGATTTTCTTGTTAAAAAAATATTTTTGTATTTTGCATGTGCATTTTTTTTTTTTTTTTTCACGTAGGATTTTCTTGTTAAAAAAATATTTTTGTATTTTGCATGTGCATTTTTTTTTTTTTTTTTTTCACGTAGGATTTTCTTGTTAAAAAAATATTTTTGTATTTTGCATGTGCATTTTTTTTTTTTTTTTTTCACGTAGGATTTTCTTGTTAAAAAAATATTTTTGTATTTTGCATGTGCATTTTTTTTTTTTTTTCACGTAGGATTTTCTTGTTAAAAAAATATTTTTGTATTTTGCATGTGCATTTTTTTTTTTTTTTCACGTAGGATTTTCTTGTTAAAAAAATATTTTTGTATTTTGCATGTGCATTTTTTTTTTTTTTTCACGTAGGATTTTCTTGTTAAAAAAATATTTTTGTATTTTGCATGTGCATTTTTTTTTTTTTTTCACGTAGGATTTTCTTGTTAAAAAAATATTTTTGTATTTTGCATGTGCATTTTTTTTTTTTTTTCACGTAGGATTTTCTTGTTAAAAAAATATTTTTGTATTTTGCATGTGCATTTTTTTTTTTTTTTTCTTTTTTTTTCTTTTTTTTTCTTTTCTTTTTTGCTGCATGTTCACACAGAAATAATCTTATTGTAACTTTAATCAACTCTGCAGAGAGCAATAGGGAGCTGGGCAGTCAACTTTTGGAGAAACTTCGCAGTGAAGGACTTATGAATGTTGACCGTCTATTTGATGGAGTCAAGCAAGTAAGGGAAATTTAATTTTGGTTATATCATATGTAATTATTGGTAGAAAGTTAATTTTTTGTTTATGCCTTGTAATGCTTGGTCTATAATTTAGATTCCTTTGACTTGTGTAACAAAGTTCATAATTTTTACAGGTGCTAGGTCAACTGGATGATCTAGTAAATGATGTCCCAAGAGTGAAGTCTCACATGGCTGGAATTCTGGGTCACTTGATTGCATCAGGCACCCTACCCTTGGCAGATGTTGCAGAACCTCTCGAGGGTGGGCAGCACTTCCCACTTTTCCTGCTCATTCTTCAGACTCTGCACAAACTTTTGGGAAAATCTAATCTCACACAAACCTTTAATGAGAGCAAGGTAGTGTATTTTGTTGTACAATTTTCTATTTTAAACAGATCTAGTAAGTTTGCTTATCATATTTTAATTATTCACTGCAGAAGGTATTTAAACTTGTATCCCTAATATATTCCTTTTTTTTTTTTTTTTTTTTTTCTTTTTTTCTTTTTTTTTTTCTTTTCTTTTCTTTTCTTTTTTGCTGCATGTTCACACACAAATAATCTTATTGTAACTTTAATCAACTCTGCAGAGAGCAATAGGGAGCTGGGCAGTCAACTTTTGGAGAAACTTCGCAGTGAAGGACTTATGAATGTTGACCGTCTATTTGATGGAGTCAAGCAAGTAAGGGAAATTTAATTTTGGTTATATCATATGTAATTATTGGTAGAAAAGTTAATTTTTTGTTTATGCCTTGTAATGGTTGGTCTATAATTTACATTCCTTTGACTTGTGTAACAAAGTTCATAATTTTTACAGGTGCTAGGTCAACTGGATGATCTAGTAAATGATGTCCCAAGAGTGAAGTCTCACATGGCTGGAATTCTGGGTCACTTGATTGCATCAGGCACCCTACCCTTGGCAGATGTTGCAGAACCTCTCGAGGGTGGGCAGCACTTCCCACTTTTCCTGCTCATTCTTCAGACTCTGCACAAACTTTTGGGAAAATCTAATCTCACACAAACCTTTAATGAGAGCAAGGTAGTGTATTTAGTTGTACAATTCTATTTTAAACAGATCTAGTAGGTTTGCTTATCATATTCTAATTATTCACTGCAGAAGGTATTTAAACTTGTATCCCTAATATATTCCTTTTCTTTTTTTTTCCAGGTTAATCTCTTGAACCTGCTGCCGGAATCTGATCGTACCAAGGAAAAGCTAGCAGACCTTCTGGAAGACCGTGAACTCTCCTTCCTTTTCCCGTTGTTGCGGATTCAGTCGGATCTCTGGCGAGCTCTTGTTGCAGACCCAACCCCACACGCATTCTACAAGTACATCAAGGACACTTTGGATCCAGAACACCACACTGCACCTGGATTCATCAATGCCTTAATGACTGTCCTTGTGAAATACATTGTGCAGGTGAGCATCAAAAAGGAGTGGTTATTTTAATGTATGAAACACTTTGGTTAGGCACACAACTTGTTAATGCTCAGACTTTTTCATTTTGAGACAAATTGGTACTTAATTTAGTTTTTTTATTTTTGTAATATAATTAAGTTTAGTTTATTCACAATGGCTAATTAATTGTTGTATTCAGGAAACTACTCTGGCTGCTGGTGCTGACCCAACTACCATCCCTGAAAAGATGGTCACCGAGCGTGAACAGGAACTCTTGGCGAAATTCAAGCCAGTGTTGCAGGCTTTCCTTCATGACCATTTACCACTGCAGGTTACTGCTATTTATGCCTTGCAGGTCTTCACATACACAAACAACTTCCCAAAAGGTATGTGTTTACATATATATATATATATATATATATATATATATATATATATATATATATATATATATATATATATATATATATATGAGGGAGGGAGGGTGAGCATAAAGGTCATCTGCCCTCATTAATGATGTTATGAACTATATATTGCAAACTGAAAGATGAAAAATTTCTTTAGATTTATGGTATTTGTGCCTCCCTTTCATCAGGTATGCTGTTGCGTTGGTTTGTGAACCTGTATGACCTTGAGATAGTAGAAGAGGATGCCTTCCTGACCTGGAAAGAGGATCTGAGCCAAGATTATCCAGGCAAGGGCAAAGCCCTCTTCCAAGTAAGTATATGGTAGATTGTATTGTGTAGGACTTATATTCCTTACTTAGAGAGAAGAAACTATATACAAGGTTATGCAAAATCAAATTGTTGAAGACAAGGGAGATTTAAAGCAAATTTAAGGAGTATGTTCATAACTTGGGTATTATAGAAATGGTTAAGCTGAGAATTGTAATTTCAATAGCACTATATACTTCAGCTGGAAGTTTTGAAGTATAATTAGCACTGAATTGTAAATAAAGTATTTTGGATTAGATTGTAGGAATGGTATGATTGTTACAGTTATCAGTCTTAAAGGATGACATCACTTGGAGAGATCATGACCAATCTTTTTGTTACATTCATGCAACTTTCTATATAACAGCATTAAGGCTTGCAGATTTGGTACACAACAAAAGAGGAGCATTGCATAGACCCAGTATATTTAGTTTAATCCAAGATAAGTTCTTATCTTCTTACTTTAAAGAATAGTGGAGTGAAGATTTTATTGATTATACTCTAGTTGCTTTTTAGATCTTAGACTTCAATTCTCAGACTTCAGTATTTATTTTTGGTTGCTTATGATTTGTTATGATATTTGTATGTCCGTTACTTTGGAATGAATCCTTCATTTGCAAGTGTGCCAGCTGATCAAGGCCTTGTATGCATGGAAGCTTGATTATATAGTCTAAAATGCTAGTTGCATAGGATGTGTTTAGAAAGTCATGCAAGTTAGTAATTGAAAATCTCCATGTGACTGAAGAATCATAGTAAGTTCCTGTGATGTTATATCTAGGAAGTTTTTAAAAATGCACTTCAGATGATAATATGAATTTGATGTTTCAGGTTAATCAGTGGCTTACCTGGCTACAGGAGACAGAAGAGGATGATGAGGAAGATGATGGAGATGCTTAACAATGGAGATTTTAAGATATGAACAAAGGAGACGTTAGTGAAGTTCAGAAGAGATGTGCAACGAGAGATAGACAGACTAATGGATTAGATAGACACAGGATAATCCCAGTATTTGCAAATGATAAGCCAAGAATTGATATTTGCGAGTCCTTGCTCTGAGGAGACTGTCCAGTTTCTGATGCTTCATGAGTATTTAAATCATTATCTCCAGTTACTACTGCTGCGTGTGCCTGTAGAGGCAGAGACGGCCAGAACTCCTGGGAACAAGGCTTTAATAGTGCTGTGGAGAGGTAATGTTTGGCAAGATGAAGTTGGTTTTTGAAAGAAGAACAATAGGAAAAATGAGCTTAAGCCAATTATGGCACATAATTGCAATATTGGCTGACACCAAAGTGTTCTCAACACAACCATTTTTTATGCGGATAAAAAAAAAGTAATGTGAAAAAAACGCTTATAAAAAAAGAAAAGGAAAAAGATCGTATAAAACGGAAATGCCTTAGTGTTGTATGAACTTTCCTTATAATATCTTATTATAATCCCCTGTTTTTTGCTTCTCAGACTTGAGCTGTGTCAACACTAGGTGTTAATGGTAACATATTAGCCAGCACTTGAATATTTAACTCTGATTTTAACCCCTTTTGTGACAGTGTTATTTTAGGTACTTGAGAGCTTTATTTTCTTTTCTTTTTCATATTTTTTACCTTTGCCTTGTTATAGATTTATTAGATCAATTTAAACTGGATGGATGGAGGTGACATCTCTTATTTATGAGAATGCAGTGCAAGTTGGTTGATTCTTTTTGTACTCAACACTAAGTACGAGTGTTTGTGTGTATGGGCAGTTTTTTATCAAGAGTTTTTCCAATTAGGAGTGTTCTTTTGGTTTCATATTGGGTCTTCAACCTATTTCTAGGGACAAATCCAAATTGTGCAGTTTTATTAACAATCCCACCTTTAGGGATAAACATGTTTTCAACACTTTAGGCATAGATTGACTTGAGTAAATCATTCCATAATGAGTAGCCATGGAGTTTGGATGTCCTTTTTCACTACTTCGCTGTCATTGTATGCGGCTATAGCACATTTGTCGCACTGACCAATAAACATCACTCAAATATGTTCTCATTTTTAATCCTTTCAAGTAACTGGTTTGTTTTTTATCATGATTGTGGATTTTTTTTCTGGAAAAAATATTTCAGATTAGCTTTTTTTGTAGAATCCATATAGTCTTACAACAATAGCCTACAGACTTAACTTCTCTAGTTTCCTGACCCTTAACTCTCCATTGATCACATCTCGAACTGCGGCTGCCGCTACTACTACTACCCCCTCCTCAATGCTTGCTGTGAACCTGATCCATTCCGGATCATCCAGGTCATTATTCAGCATTTAGAATACATCTTTCTCCCAACATTATCCTCTTCATCTCTTCCTGCACAGCCTTTTTAATTTTCTGCTCCTTATCTTGTTACCACACTTCATTCTATACCGTCTTGTTCCCTGTAGTACCATCTTTTTCTATCGTCCTAGTCCTCTACTACTACCGCCTCTACAAACCTGAGTACTCTTGTTAGTCCACCCAAATGGCATTTGATTCTTCCTATAGTCCCTTACTTTGGCAATAACCTCTTTTAACAAGTTCTAAAATAAGTAGACAAAGTTTCCTTCCGCAGATCGTTCACGCCTTGTCAATGTTACATCTGATCCCGAAAGTCCAGCATCATATACCCTAACTGGCCTCACTGATAAATTTGTTCCTGACCAGCCTCACCCCTCCCTTAATAAATATATAGGAACTTTCCATCTCCCTGGCTGAATGTTCTATATATGACAAGGATTAGTCCTGAAAACGACCTGCAATACAGTGATACTTCCAGAGGCCGCTGTAAGTTCTACACCAATATTGCCAATACTACTTTCCATAGACATGACCATCCCCCATGAAGTTTGTTGATGAAGAGTACTACTCTGCCCCCTCCCCCCTCCTTAGCTCTGTTTTCGTGTGTGGTGATGGGTGGGGGGGACTTGGGAGACGAAGACGGATCACCCATACCTTAGATCTCGGCCCTCGCCTCAACAATTTTTGCATGGTCATTTTCTCCTTTTTCTTCACTTCTTCCCCTTCTGTCCACTTATTCTAATCGTTAACATTTTAACCCATTGCCGCCGGGAATGGCATGTACGTAAATGCCATGCCCACTGTGAGTCGACTTGTTCGATTGTTTTTACACATAGATGGCTACACTTGTGCTAAGTATCCAATGAGCCAATTACGAGTACTGCCTGTCTCGCCCATTCACCCTTTTCATCGATTTACGAAAATATTTAACGTTATCCTAATTTGCTGTTAAAAATAATACCATCTATATTTATAGCACTAGTAAAAATACGTTTTTTCCCGCCAATTCAAGGAAAAGTGAAATCAGGACTAGCAGAGCCATCTATGGACAGATATTTCACAAAAATATAAAAAATGAGTACAGCATTTCCCCCATTTTTTGTTCATTTTCCCCGGCGGCAATGAGTTAACCTTTATTCATAGAGCCTCTAGTGCTGTTCTATCCTAATAAACCTAACTATTTTCGCTACTAGACTTTACCTCTGTGCTATATGACACGTTGTCTAGCACATTTATTTTCAACTAACCATTATCCCTTTTCGACCATTTCGTCCCTTCCCACCATCACAAGTTCGAATTTGACCACCACCTACGCAAGGAGGGAGACCACGTACGCCAACGAGGTTTTTCTCGCAACCTACTCCACCGGCATCTATTCTTTCCCGATTGCCTCTCCCCAGTATCTCTTCCCCCTATCCCTTACCATCCCAACTCTATCCCCTCCCAGTTAAATTCTTTTGCCATTCTAAATCCTGAAACCCCAATCTCTTGTTTCCCCCTGTCTGTCCCTCCTCCTCACTTTACCTGTCGCAATCTAAACGTTCCACCCCGTCTACCACACTCACACCTCTTCCTCTGTTCCTCGGACGTCTGTCTGCCTCTTCACTTCACAAGAAACCCCTCGTTTCTCAGACCTCCCCACACCCCTCTAACATTTGAGGCCATTCATAAGTTCCCTATCATAACTTAAGAGAACACTCCTCTCCCTCAACCACCCTCCAATCACACTATCCCCATTCCCTCTATACTAAAACTGACCCATCTTCCCCTTCTCCATCTACACCATCCCCTTTCCCTCCATTAGTGCCAGACCTTGATCATATCAAGGTCATATAGCTCAAATGATACTTTTGTTCCATAGTATTCTCCGGATCACGTTCCAATATTTCTCCACCTTCCCCTGGGTCCTCGTCTCATTCCCTAGGTCCTACTTCTCCGACTCCCATTTCTACCCTTAGTACCCACTGATTGCTTCACAATGGTTACTCTTCCAGTTCCACGCATCCTGTTGTCTTATCTCCACTGTACTGCAGTTTGTATCTCTGCTTTTCTTCATGTGTTTTCGATTTCTCGACACCCTCCCCTTAAAAAAAAAAAAAAAAAAAAAAAAAAAAAAAAAAAAAAAAAAAAAAAAAAACGGTTGGACATTCTCACAGAATTCCTGCTTTACCCCATCTGCTCCCCCTCTTTACCATTTTTACTACCATATTATCCGATAGGTGCTTCACGACCCATGATATGTAAAGGCCTTTCCACCCAAGTGTTCATGATCGATGGGCACACGGACGGACACAGAGACGACAAAGTACTCTGTAAACTAGTAGTTTCCTCGTTTTCTCACCTGTGACGTCACCTCTGCAGTTGCCCGCCGATGTGTCTGCCGATCATGCCCGGTTGTGTGGGCAGGCCTTAATTCATTAACTCATTTTACCATGTTTAGCAACAATAGTGCTATACGACCTTTGGTATTTAGCACATTTATTTGTTATAACCATTAACCATTCTCCCTTATCATGCGGGGTATTTAACCCCGTATGATAAGGTTTGAAGGCGAGGGAAAGACAAAATTGATTAAGACAGTAACACACAAGTTAACCCCCCCCCCCCCTCCCAATCCCTTGCTCGTTGCTGTGGTGGTGGGGGGTGGGGGCTTAGACGAGCTGAGGCTCAATGTAAGGGAGCACATTTATTTGTTTTAACCATTAAGCATTCTTGGAATCCACAAACATCGCCTTATGAACCAAGCCGCACCCCCCACCCTATCGCTGTATTTTGAATACGACGCTGATAACTTTTGATGTTGACTAGGCAGAAAATGTTCAATGAATAAATAACACAAAAGGCGATTGGGTTTAGCCTTCACTGGGTAAATTCCCTTGGATTATACCCGTCCCTATTGTCCACAAGTCTACGTCGATTAGTGACTAGACCACAGGTGGTAGTGTAACTATGTCCATTGTCTGGTGATTTCGCTCAACTACGGGTACGGGCATTCAGTTTACCCCTCAAGGTTGCTCGATGACAACCTTTACAACTTTGGACGCTGTGTATGGACGATCGAATGGACGGCTTAAGGTTATAAAGGTGTTTAAAATGTGAATTCGTGAGTGAGATGAGTGACTGGGCAACACTACTTTTGATTGGTAAATGTAGCCAATATTTTTGATACGATACAAAGAAATTAAGAATTATGCTCCATGATACAGAAAAAGCCAACTTTGGCTGGTATTTTCTAAACAAAGCGTTTCGACAAAATCGTTTTCTTATTCTCGACACTATTTGTATATCAACAGTAATAAATGGTAGAAAAAATCGAATTATGAAAGTTGTAGCATCCCCATTATGTGCCTATTCAAACAATAGTTTGAGAAAAAAGCCGTATCCATGGCTGTTTCACATATTTATTAAAACTCACTTTCCTCATCGCCTGGGAGGCGTTTGGTATGCGTGCGATGTTTGCGGTAAGCTCCAAAACGAAAATAAATAAATAAATAAAAACGGGAAAAATGTACTAATGTGCAGGGCCTAAAATCGGACATTCCCGGCGGGTATTGCCCTCATCTGGCAGTCCGTCTGGCACGCCCGTGACTATTGTCCACGCGGCAAAGTCTTGGCCCAAAAAACTACTTAGAGGCTTGTGTTATGTGTAAGTTCTTGAATGTGTTACCGCAGTGCTATCTAATGTGGATTTCATTCAGTCATGGACATTTCGCTCATTTGCCAATTAGGTTTTCTCTGACGATCGCATTATGTTAATAAAAGAAAATGGGAAATTAAATTTTACTATCTCTGCGTAGTATTTTCCTAGTGGATGTATATTTGTGAACAAGTAAATGCGTTACACAAATAGCTTTGGCGTTCCCAAACAACAGACAAATAAACAAGGATATCTATTTTGTTAATAGCAACAACAAATTTGTTGGCAGCACGTGCAGCATTGCACAAGCAAATTCGTGCACTCGCACGCGTGTATATGTGTGTGGCTGTAATGTATATATTTATACACATATAGATGCATACACACACACACACACACACACACACACACACACACACACACACACACACACACACACACACACACACACACACACACACACATACATATATATACACATATACACACACAATATATGTATCTCTCTCTATCTATGTGTGTGTGTGTGTGTGTGTGTGTCCAAGCAAATACGCGCATACGGAATCTCCTTTTCCCCCGAACACTGTTAGTCCGTGGACTGTCCCTTTGAAAGTGTGCCAGCCACGCCGGACGACGAGGAACGCAGAGGTGAAAGTGAAGTGTTTCATCTTTTGGTCCTCAGTCGCATGTAAGAGTTCTATACCGATAGGCCTGCCTCCCCAAAGTATTTATTCTATTCAAGTAATTAGTTTTTTCCAACCAATTATTGTTCACAGATATTGCTATTATAATTCTTGGAAAAAAGAGATCTTAACAGTTTTAACAATTCTGCATGGCATCTGACCATAAAAAATATATATGTAATAAAAAAAACTATTTGCGACCAGATGGAGTAATGAATCTCGAACATATGTGGAAACAAATATATGCCCGATCCTGGATTAATCACTGCGTAGCTAAGGCACCCACGGAGAGAAACAGTCATGTGATTTTCAAATGTTAAGATTACCATATTCACAGAAATGGCCAAGCGGTAGCGCATGAGAACGTTTTTTTTTCGCGTGTCGTTACATCCAGACAA